ATGCGGTGTGTGACCACAGAGCACAGCAAGCTGACCAGTTCTCAGAGATCAAGGTCAGGACCTTGGCCTTTTCATTGCTGCTACCCCGTAGACTGCCAGCCCAAAGTGTGTGCTTTGGGAGACAGAGGCGGCCAGGGTTTCTTTTTCTTGTTTTCTCTCTTTGACATTGGAGTATAAGTGTTTCACAATGCCATGTTAGTTTTGGCAGAGCAGTGAAGTGAATCAGCTACATGTATACATATATCCCTGCTCTTTTGGACCTCCCTCCTTTCCCCTGGCCCCGTCATCCCACCCATCTAGGTCATCACGGAGCGTCACAGATATGTCATCATATAGCTCGCTGTGCTAGATGGCAGCTTCCCACTAGCTGTCTGTTTGACACCTGGTAGTATGTTTATGTCAAACCGAGTCTCCCAGTTCAGCCCACCCTTCCCATCCACCCCCCCACTGTGTCCACACGTCCGTGCTCTTCAACTGTGTCTCCATCCCCGCTCTGGAACTAGGTTCATCTGTACCATTTCTCTAGATTCCACACACATGTGGTTAATATATGATACTTGGTTTTTCTCTTTCTGACTTCAGTCTATATGGAGATTGTGGGAGAAGATACTAATTAATGGATATAGAGCAAAAACTTTACACTGTTTCTCTGACAGAGGAATTAAAATGATCATGAGACTAATATGGAGCTAGCACTAACAATTCTATAAAGTACAATTTAAAAACACTTGAACATGTTTTTCATCATTACTTCATTATAATATATTATGAAACACATGTACATAATATAACACTCATTTTAAAAAATTATTTATTTTAATCAGAGGCTAATTACTTTCCAATATTGTAGTGGTTTTTGCCATATATCGACATGAATCAGCCATGGGTGTACATGTGTTCCCCATCCCGAACCCCCTCCCACCTCCCTCCCCATCCTATCCCTCTGGGTCATCCCAGTGCACCAGCCCTAAGCACCCTGTCTCATGCATCAAACCTGGACTGGCAATCTATTTCACATATGATAATATACATGTTTCAGTGCTGTTCTCTCACATCATCCCACTCTCGCCTTCTCCCACAGAGTCCAAAAGTCTGTTCTTTACATCTGTGTCTCTTTTGCTGTCTCGCATATAGGGTCATCGTTACCATCTTTCTAAATTCCATATATGTGCACTAATATACTGTATTGGTGTTTTTCTTTCTGGCTTACTTCACTCTGTATAATAGGCTCCAGTTTCACTCACCTCATTAGAACTGATTCAAATGAATTCTTTTTAATGGCTGAGTAATATTCCATGGTGTATATGTACCACAGCTTCCTCATCCATTCATCTGCTGATGGGCATCT